AACGTTAATCATGTCCCATACAATGAATCAAGTTTAATGTTAAATTGATATAACAAATAATTTACTTACATAGTCAAATAATTATTTATAATATTTTTCCACGTTAAACTATACAACATAATCAATTTGTGAATTTTTTTTAAAAAAACCAAATTCGTTTGTTTTAATGGTGGGGAAAAAATGAAGTGGGTGGGAATAGAGTGCACTGGGCTAGTTGGAAAAAATTGGCAGAGGGTAAATTAGAAGGTGGGATGGGTTTTAGAGAGTTAGGTGATCTAAATGAGGCTCTGATCCCTCAAGCAAATTTGGAGGATGTTGACAAAACCTAATACTCTCATGAGTAGATTATTGAGAGGAAGATATTTTTTAAAAAAAAAAAAATTCTGGAAATCTCTAAAAAAGGACAGGACTCATGGATGTGGAAAAGCTGGCTAGATGCAAGAAAGTCTTTAGAGATTGGTATGAGATACCAAGTGGGAAATGGCCGTTCTATCAGCATCTTGAATTCTCCTTGGCTTGCTAATGTTGAAAATTTCAAACCCAAGTGCTGTTTTGAAGAAGATAGAGCTAATCTGCACAAAGTCTCTGATTTAATGCTTGCAGGTGGCAAAGCTTGGGACAAGGACTTAATATTGCAAACTTTCAATCCAAGGGAGGCTGAGATGATCTTAAAAGTCCACATCAGTCAGAGGGGAATACAAGACAAACTCATTTGGCACACCAGCAAAAAAGGTGTGTTCACTGTGAAAGAAGCTTACAAGGCAATCCAACAGAAGCAGAAAGAAATAGAAGGTGGAATTGGGTCAAGCTCTGGGAATACAAGCAGTCAAAGGACATGGCATAAAACCTGGAAATTGCTGGTGAAACCAAAGGTCAAGAATTTCATATGGAAATGTATGCATGGCTGGGTGGGAACAGGATGTAAACTACACCCAAAGGGTGTGAAAGTTGACCCTACTTGCTGTTGGTGTGGGGAGGAAAAGGAGGACCTGGAACACTTATTTTTCAGATGTGAGAGAGCACAGAGAATCTGGAAAATTGCAGGATTATCATGGGCCATTCTTGAGAAACATCAATCTTCTTCTCAGGAGTGGTGGTCTGAACTTTGCTGCATGAGGAACTCTGATCTAAACAAACACAGGATTGCCTTATCCACCTACCTGCTGTGGTGGATGTGGAGAACTTGAAATAATTGGATTTTTAACAAAGTCACCTCCACAGAGCTGCAAGTGGTAAAAGGGGCAATATCAGAATGGCTGGAATTTGAGAACAATGTGTTTGTGGCTGGTGGAAGGGAGGTTGTGGAACTGAAAAATGATGGACTAAGTGGGGTTGATTGGAATCAGGAAATAGGGGTGCAGATGCCTGCACTCAGTGTTTATGATTCTGAATTAAACAACTGGAAAGTGAAGGGAGTAGCTCAGGGGAGAGATGGATCTATGGCTTGTTGGTATAATTCTAGGAGCTTGTCAGAGCAAAACTCAGTGGAATATATACTGATGGAGCTTAGAGATTGGTTAACAAGGGGAGTGGAGCAGGGCTGGGTGCAAGTGAAAATATGGTGCAGGGACAAAATGCTTTACAAGATCATTTCAAATAAAGACAATGCATGCTGGGATGTGGTGATTTTAGCTGAGGATATTAATCATGCCCTTGCCTCTGTTTTCGAAAGTAATGTGATGTATTGCTGTTAGATTCATGTGATGTTATTTGTAGTATTTTAGGAACAGTTGGATTTTTGTTTGTTTGATTTTATGGACCATGCTGGTCATTTAGGGGCTTCCTCATTGGTTTGCCCCTCTTAGGCTTTCTTATCCTAGTTTTATCTAGTGTAAGGACTGTGTCAACCCGTTGGTTGTCGTATTGTACATGGTTGCTTATTTTGATATAAAATTTGATGGGATAACTTACTCTAACACACCTAAACATGAAGATAACAGTAACATTAGTACGAAGTGTTTTGTTGTTGTTGTTGTTGTTTTATTCTAATTTGTATAAAACTTTGTAGGGGTTAAATATTAAAATTTGAAGAGACTCCTTAACACATTTATCGTTCTTTCTTTCATGTGTACATGATGTACAAATAAATACCAACAAACTATAATTTAAGACTTAGATTATAAATTGAATTTCTTTTCAAACTTAGTTAATATTTTAGTAAATACTAGATACTTATTTTAGTAAATGAAATAATCTTTTCATATAAATATTGTTAGTGCCTTTATAAATGTAACATCAACATTATTATGAAGTTTTATAATATTTTTTTTTTCTAATTTGTATATAACTTTGTATAACATCAACATTTTATAAAGTTATATTATATATGTTTTTTTATATATTTTGTATACAACTTTGTATCAATGTGTATTCAATAACAGTTACTAACACTAGCGATATAAATTAAAACTAGTAAATATCATGTACACATGCACAGATGTACATAAAATATTAAGTAATATTTGAGAATGTAATATAAAAATTTTAGATAATGATCATATTACATTTTTAAAATTTAATCATTAGGAAAAATAAATTAATGATTGTTTATTACTATGAACAATTGTTTATTATCATTAGATAATAGCAGTTTGATTATTATTATTGTTGTTGTTGTTATTATTATTATTATTACAAAAACAATTGTTTATAAGATTCTAAAGTTTTTTGACTATGCTATTAAAATAATTTACTAATTGTTTTCAAAAAAAAATTCATGAGATACAAAAGAAAAAGATAATATTGATGTTAAAATAAATAACTTGAAACAATTGTTTAAATTTATATTTATTGTGAATTATTATTAGTTGGTATTAGCAATAATTATTATATAATATAATAGAAAAATACATGATTACACTCAATAGGATGTATTTAATGTGAGATGTAAAAAACATTACTGATAAATTTTGTAACCGAAAATGGAAGAAAAATTTTAGAAGTTTTATTAAATAGGTTTTCTTAAATGCTATTAGCTAATAATTATATATATATATATAGATTAATGTTAAATATTAAATTTTAAGAGATTATTTCACTTCCTAACACATTTGTCATTCTTTCCTTTAGAATAATTTTTTTTATTCAATTTACAAATAAAACTTGAATTGCAATATATATATATATATTTTTTTTCCTTCAATTTACAAATAAATATTGTATTGGGGGACAAAAGGATGTTGGTTGTCAATGAATAGTTAATCTCATTTGCTAAATATTTGAACTATATCAAACAACATCAATCTAAGAGCATCTACAATGCTTTGGGTTCGATCCCAAAAAATTACATGCCACATAATAAATAGACTCAGTCCAAAAAAATATATTCTCCAATGCAAATAAAAATAGACTGGGTCATGTTGATGTGGCAGCCAGAAAAAGAGACCCGGTCTCCCCTTAAGTCCATTTTAGACCCAAGTAGAGACCTAGTCTCTTTGCATTGGAGTGAATTTTATTAATTTTACATAATTTTATCTACGTCATTTAAGACTTGGGTTTATTTACTTGCCACATAGGCAAAACTAGACCCAATGCATTGAAGATGCTCTAAGGAACAAGCAAATAATAGGTAGAATTTGACCCTACTACCCACACCGGGTTCCAAGCCGTTGGATCACACGCGCGCACACACCCGTGTGGGTGTGTTTCGATCCGACGATTCGAAATCCACCCAAAAATAGACACCTCCAAATTCTGAAATATGACTGTCACATATTTGCTAACAAGACCCTGAAGAAAAATGACTATATTTCTTAATTTGAACCCAACAATAAAGGTGTCAACAGAAAGAACAGAAGCTGCTGATATGTACAATAAAATGTCCAAAGAATTTCCAACACTCCCCCTGAGATTTTTCTATCATCTTATACAGCTATGTCTAGAAGAAAACCACTCTCTCCAAAACCCAACCAATTTGCAACTTTCATTGAAGCTACTAATCTAAAGATATATCTGAAGCTTCAGGCAGAGGAAAGCGCGTAAAAGCTCCAGTTACTAATTCTATAAAGAAGATTTTGAAAGAATTCAGGCAAAATGAATCTTGTTAGAGAAAGGTAGAGGCATATATCCTTAATCGACCCTGAATAGATACTTCAGATCGTCAACTGTAAGCCTAGTCTGTCGGGTGCGCGACTCGTCTTCCCCAAAGGCAGAAGCAACCATCCTTCTCTTCCTTTGCTGAAAAAGGGCCAAATTTATCAGTGTCAAAAAGCATGCCACGCAGACATGGCATTTAGTAAATCTTCAATAGTCGGGGGAAAAATAATTAACACCAAGAGATAAAGTTTATTATAGAACCAGAAATTTATCATCACAAATTCATTTGTTTTTCATTAACCAAATTTTCGCTTTATATTCAAAGTTCAATCAACAAGATACTCAACAAAAACAGGTATCATCACAAATTCATTTGCTTTTCATTAACCAAAATTTTGCTTTATATTCAAAGTTCAATCAATAAGATACTCAACAAAAACGGATGTACCTGCAGAGCCAAAATGCGATCTTCCACTGTATCTTTCACAGTCAGCCGAAAAACCGAAACAGGACGTGTCTGCCCTATACGATGTGCTCGATCTATAGCCTGATCTTCAGTAGTCGGATTCCACCAGAGGTCCAGGAGAAGGACATTACAAGCTGCCACCATGTTCAGGCCAAGGCTAGCAGCCTTTAGAGACATGATCATAACCGAAACCTACCAAAAGTCTTAAAAATTAGCACTACTACCTTCTTATGTAAGCAAGCACGTAAAAAATCCAATTAATTAATAACAAAAAACCTGGGGAAGAGAATTAAAATCTTTCACGGCTCGGTCCCTAGCAGCAACAGGCATAGTACCATCAAGCCTACGGTACTCAATGGAAGTACTCTTAAGACAAGCTTCCAGCAAATCCAACATCCCAGTCCACTGTGAGAACACAATGGCTTTCTCTGTCATAACCTTGCCCGAATTGTCCGAATTTACATTAATGCCACGATCAGAAGCACATGATTCTTGCGAGGACTCGGATTGTGCTGCGGAGTTCGTTCGTGAAGAGACGGACAATAAGAGGTCGAGGGCGGCCTTGATTTTGGAAGAATCTTGAGGACACCTGGATGAATTAAGCTCGGAAACTTCAGCAACTTCATGATCGGTACAGCTGGCAGTGTCTTCTGTACTCGGCTGATCTGAGAGAGCAATACGTAGCGTGTTCATGGAGAAAACGCACGCCATGCTCAGATGGGTTTTGCATTTCTTTGATGGGCACTGGGTCGAGTCGCCTATTAGATGTTCACATATGCACTGGTGGCAAAAGACGTGTCCACAGAGAGTTACAACGGCATCCTCAGGTGGATCCTGCACGATCAAGAGTTTAAGAAGGTTTAGAATATACTGATGGAAATAAACGGACAAAAGAAGGGTGAATAAAAAGTAATTTCCCTGGAATATAACAAAACTTACATTGCAAATCCCACAAATGGCCAAAGAAGCTTCCAAACAACTCAGGAGGGAATTCTGTTTCTCCTTAGAAAGTTTCTTTGCCATCTCAATGGACGATGTCAATTTCGAACTCGAACCGAACCCCTTAACAAGCAGAGGATGATCACAAGCTTGGCGTAGTCGTAGGAGCATTAGCAATATGTTGACATAATTCTGTTTGACAGTTCCTGCTGCAGCATATTCCTGCCAAAACGAAAGAACCATAAACTGAATTTCAGGACTTGGAAGCCACCATTTATCTTGCATACATCAAGGGATTAGGAATATAGTTAACATACAGCAAATTGGGCACGTGACTCAGCCTCCAGTCTGCAGTAGAAATCGCGCTCTTCCTTGGAAAAATCAATTTTCTTCAATTCTATGGTTTTCGGTGGGAGATTAATAATTGGTTCCCCATCAATAAAAGTACCTGGATATCAAAATTAAACAAAAAATTAATATTAATCTCTGCTCGTATGCTCATACAGTTTATACTGTTAGTAGGAACATCAAGTTTTTTTGTCAAAGATTAAGAAATGGTCTTCCATAAACAGAAGAACAAACAGCAAAAGAAACCATAACAGGTAGAATATTGATGGCATTTGACAAGCCAATTTACTTGTTATTAAAATGCGTTGAAAATCAGGCTGGTCTGCGGTAAAACACCTGGAAACTAGTCGAAATTTACCTTTTGTTCGACGTAGCATGATAGTCTTGAGCACCGCTTGTAATTTTTTGTAACCATTCCGTGGATTCCTATGAATTGGAACCTTTAGCTGCTCACAGAAAGTCCTAAAGACAGCATACGGTTCGTGCCTGAGAAATCTGAAGTAGCTATAAAGATCGTCTATAGCATTTTGAATGGGTGTCCCGGACAAGCACCACCTGCGTTTAGCACGGAGACCCCAGCAAGCCCTGGCCACTTGAGTACGGTGGTTTTTGATACTTTGGGCCTCGTCCAGTACAACCCTAAACCATCCAACCTGGGCAAGAGGACCATATGTCTTTTCAAGTATTTCACCGTCAAGTATTTCACCGTCAATTCCTTTCCTCTTCTTGCTCTTAGAGGAATTTTCAGATAATTTCCTTTTTCCAGAAGATGAAAGTTCTTTGAGTGGAGAATCCATCGGATTCTCACTTTCACCGGCAACAGGCTGTTTAGGAACCTCCATGCTCACAATCGCATATGTTGTAACAACCACATCATATTTTGCCAGCTCGAGATGATCCTTTGTCCGGTTGCTTCCATAGTATACTAGAACAGAAAGATTGGCTTCCCTTGTTACTTTATTGTGCAACTCCTCGGACCATTGCCGGAGGACACTTGTCGGACATACAATGAGGGTCCCACCAGAAGGCCTGCCCCTTGCCAGCAGAGAATTATTGCCACCATTGATCGGGCATCCACTTAATTGTTGAGGTTTGGCCTCAGACACACTATCATCATCATCATCATCATCATCCAAATTTAGTGTCTCTGTCTCACTTTGTTTTTCATTAACCACTGAACCTTTAGATGATGCCGGCCTTTCCTTCAGTATAAGTGCAATTGTAGATACTGTCTTCCCAAGTCCCTGAGCAAGGTAAAATGTGAACATGGTTAGTCGGTTAATAAACAAATATATTCTTAAAAGGGTAAGCATAATCCCAAAAGTAACCTGATCATCCGCGAGAATTCCACCAGAACAGCAAGCACTTTTTGTCTCCTTGTTAACCATCCAAGATAAAGCAATTCGCTGTCAAGAACTTACCTCGTATTAGCAGAAGCAATGTACCATAAGGGAACCACCAACTCAATTATTACAATGACATAAACAAAATAAAAACGCACTTGCACGTTATAATCAATTAAGCACATTGTACTACAGAGATAACATCAGTCGTAGCAAGTAAGATTCTAAACTAATTGTTCAAGGTCATGCACTTGTATGCAAGACGATATGGGTACAAGTCTACAAGCTGAACCAACGTATACACCAAAATGATTAACTTATCCTTTGTAAATCGATCAAGTAATTCCAGAACAAATAGAACTAAACCAAAATAAGTAATTCCGGATCCGGAACAAGACACCCCTATTCAAAATAAAGTGTCCCTTGACAGAAGTTTTTTGAAATGCGTTTAAACTAAATATTTTCCCATCAAAGATACTTCTACACATCCTTCAATCTGTTAGGATAAACATTTCAGATTGATCTGTCAACTGTCCAAGGGTCATACACTAAATTGTGATCAATAATTCCACAGAGCTTCAAGAATTAAAAAGGAAAGAAGCTTTTTACTCATCCCTCAAACATACACAAAACCGATTAACATTAGCTTTGGAAGATCTTGACAGTTCCAAATGAAAACTAAGACAGGTTAATAGTACAGAGTAAAACCATAAACTAAAATGAAATGAAATTTTAAGACGACGGAAAGACATTAGTGACAGAAGCAAAAATGGGTACTATAAGTTTAGGGATCCAGAACAACCCCATTTCTCATTTTTTTTTTCTTTACCTTAACCCAGATACCTAAAAGGGAAGGGGAGGGGCAGATAGGAAAAAGTCAGCATTTATCTTCCTCCCAGAACAAAGTGCACAAAACTATACCTGGTGTTTCAGCAGAGGCACAGACAAAAGACCGTCTGGTGGAGTAGCTTCTGATTTTGGCTGCGTAAGATCCTGAAATAGATTCAACACACATATATATAACTTCCAAAACATCAAAATAGAATGATACTGCTCTCAGACAAAATAAGAATGATCATTCTCACTGCAGCAAACATTTACATAACAAAAGGCATGACCGACAATTCTTCTCTGAAGTCAACACGGGACTCATTAAATGGGATTAAAGATTCAACCTGCAGAGCAACTCGAAAAATTGCCCGTTCATCATTAGATTTGATCCTCGAATGTGCTGTTGCCATCTGGGCACCATGGTTTCTCGATGTCAAAAGTTGTGAAGCTGCAGCAAGCTTTGCATTCATTGCAGCACGCTTTGCATTCATTGCAGCACGCTTTGGTTGTGCTGGGGCACTCATATCTTCAAGGATACACACATCACAATCATCATCAACATTTTGGGCAACCATGTTATTCCGAACCCCTTGATAGGTCCTTGGCATCTTGTTTTCTACCTTCACAGAATTCATTTCCACCTTAACTAAAGGGGTTGGCAGTACGCCCGGATTCTCCAAAAACTGATGAACAGGAGAACTCAAATCATGACCGACAAAGGCAGAATTCGGCAACTCATTTTCCATCTTTACAGAATTTGCTCCCATCTCAAATGAAGAGGGTGAAAACCCGCCGAGATTCTCTGAAATCTGATCAACATGAGGCCAATCATGACAAAAGAAGACAGGATTTATCATATCATTTTCTATCTTCAGGGAATTTCTTTCCATCTTAACTGAAGGTGGCCGTACTTGATGATTCTCAGAAACAGAAAACCAATCATGACCAGCAAAATCACAAATTTCCAGTGGGATTTCACCAGACCTGCCAGGAGAGTTAAAAGTTCTTGTATCAGAATCTTTCTCTTCTATTTCATCCTTTGCCTGGGAAACATTATTATTACGAGGAACCATAGAAGAAGAACTGCCTCGCATCCTCCCTATACCATTGATGGAATACAGCTGACCTGGGCTCGCATTATATGTCCCACTCCCACCAATTACATCATTGAGTACATCAGTAGCTCTAATACCAATGTTGTTGCGGTAGTTCCTAAATGCACCCGTGCCACTATATAAGGCTGATCCAAATACATCTCCTTCATGGTTAACTCGACCGAAATCCATAGAGTCCCGCTTATGAATAGCACCGTTATTACTATGAAAAGTAGAAGGTTCACCACAGCTGGATGTGTCAAATAGATCTTGCTCAGGGTCATTTAGGTATAATGACTCTCTGCCATGCATGCTGCTAAAGGTAAATGGTTCACTGTCGCTGAATGTCTCAATTGGAGCTTCCTCCCTGTCAATTCGACAAGAAGATGAGGCATTCTGTAAACTATCATCTGCACCTGCATAGTAAGGGCCATTGCCATTATTGGGTGAAGGTTGATGTTGTTCACTTTCTGAATATTTATTCCAATATCCCAAATCTTCATAACTGTGTGTTATGTGTTGGTGTTCACCAAATTCGGGCGAATCATCTTCTGGGAAGAGAACAGCGGAAGTCAGCTCTCCTATTCAAATACCAATTGATTAATTAACTAAGACATGAGATAAAGAAAGCGGTAGGTTTGTGGCAACTTGTCATAACAATTTAAATGAAGGGAACAGTGCTCACAACAGGATGAAGATCACCCGAAAAGGGGAAAGAAAACACATGCAAACCACAAAATGCTTACCAACCTTGTATGGAGTCAATAATTGGTAAATCTTCTGACCTACCACCCTGCAAATTGACAATGAATAAATTCAATTCAACACATGGCAATTTTACATCACTTGTAATATATTCCAGATACATTAGTGCATGTCCACAAGCAAATTAACAGAGAATAGCATAAATCAAATAATTCGAGGAAGAAATATGGATGGACTACAGAGTAAAATTGACAAGCAATTGCTTTTGTCGATTTTTCGCCTAGTTCTGCCATTGATTTGCATTTGACTCCTATTGATGGGACAGTTTTATACAACATACTCTCTCAATTTGCAAATATTCCACAACTCAGGTTACTAAATTCTTCCTTCTAATTTCCAACTTTACTAAATTCTTCCTTCTAATTTCCAACTTTATTTCATGACCTCGCAACTGATAACATTCCTATACGACCAAATTGCTCCCAATATCCATGCCAGAACAACACTCTAATGCCCTATCTACCAGATCAATGTATATGCACGCAGCTTTAAGCCACCCAAGCTAAACCCTTGAATTTATGTGATGCAGCAATTCAGTAGATTTCAGATCGAATCAAGGAAACCTATTCACTAGCTATCAATTAGCCACAAACAGACATCAGATACCATCCTCCCATCACTCGTCAAACCCAACCCATAAACCCCTAATCTACCAATTCCAGACCGACACGGAGAATTCCCCAAAGAAAAAGCGAAATGCTTTGTTCAGCACGACAACAAACCTGCTGTGAATCAGGAGACTCCTCGATGACCCGCCATATATCATCGAGACTCAAGAGCACGTCGTTGTAATCGACCGGCGCAGAGGACGACCCGTCCAGCGCCACCGCTGCTCCGTCGCTCGCCTCCACCATCATCATCTCAAAGCTTCGCTGCCCTTGTAAACAGAAAAAAACCCCAAACCCGCCCCAATCAAAAGAAAAATCAAAAAAGGGGCAAAATCCCAACTCCAAATCCTCTGCAATCACGCACAAGGAGGCGACGACGGACTAAGAAAAGGAGATGTGAAAACGAGTATGGCGCAGTAGATGAGCTTGAGGAGAAGGTTCCCAACAAATTTCACTGTGATTTACAGGCGAAAAATAAAAAAGGAAGAAAAAAGGAAAAGTGAAAAACGAAAAATCCAATAAATTTGAAAACTGTGAATGGGGCGTCGTGGGTCAATTATAGGCCGTGACCCGCGTTGGCCGTTTCCCATTCGGAGTAGGAAACGATTAGGGAAAGATATTAAATAATATTACTATTTAACGCCATTGTTATGACTTTATTTACAGAGCACGTATATAAAGCCGCCTATGAACGCAATTTAGTAGTGACTCTGCTTGTTTATTAGATATACTAATAAAAAAAAAAAAAATCAATCTCAACTTAAAATTTAACTTATTCTTACCTTAATTTGATTATTCCTAATATTATCAATATCAACCTATCATTCTTAAACATTATATTAATTTTAATTCAGCAGGGCGTAGCCACATAGTGGCTCACCTAGGCTCCAGCCCGGTCTAAATTTTTGGTTTTATCTAAATATTTAGTAGTAAAACAATATTTTAGCCTATATTTTACTAATTTAATTTATGATAAAATTATTTAGTCCATATTACTTTAAATTTATTTTATATTAAACCAAAAAATTATACATTTTTTTACATGACTAAAACTTTTTATGTAATTTTTTGTGGTTATATCTCACTTTGTCATTTTTTCTTCTTTGTTTTCATTTTTAATATTTGATTTAAAACACGATGAATTTGTATTATTTATATTACTTTATATGTGAAATATATCAATTATTTGTTAACTTATAAATAAATGATATTTGAATATGTGAAATATATGATTTAATTTCATTAATTTGCGTAGCATATTCAATGAAATAACACTAGTGTGTACCCCGTGCGATGCACAAGAACAATATTAAATTAACAATATTATAAATAGACCTCGAGTTTTAGTTACTCAATGGCGGAAGTGGAAACTACTATTGATCCTATTTAAAAAGAGAAAGAAAAAAAATTAATTATAAATTAAAGAGGAGGATAAACAATACTTAATAATTATAAATTAAAGATTCGGGGTCAAACAATGTAAAACTATTTTGTATAAGAGAATATGAAATTTACATTATTTTGTACAAGAGAATATAAAATTTGTATGTTTAATATTAAAAACACCAAAAATATTATATTAGTATATGTAAAAGTATTCAAAATTTTCTATACTATTTTTGAAAGATGTGAAGTCACCTACAACTTTTCTAAACAATTTTAGAAGGAAAACATATCTAAAAACATTTGAATTTAACATTGTGTAAAAAAAAATTTTCTAGACTATTTTGTAAAGAAAACATGTCTACAAATATTTAAATTTAACATCAATTATGTATATGTGTATATATATGTATATATAGACGAATATGTAAAAAAAAATGTCTAAACAATTTGTTTAAAATATCTAAAATATTATAAGCATAATTTAAAAATGACATTATGTCAGATGATACCGAATTTATGGTGTTACTTCAATCTAAAAAAATTTGATTACATACTATTATTATTATACTTTTTACGTTGTTATCAAGGATGTATTGTTAGCTTATAATATTTATAATATTTGTAAGAATATTAGTAATTAAACCGATGAAAATTAACTTTTTAAAGTAGATAATGGATTTCTAGTAGTAATTATGAATTGGTTTTTATTTTATTTAAGATGAGATTTTTTAAACTCGTGAGATCGTATGCAATGGGATTTTGTAACAGATAAGAGATAAACTCTAGATTTATGCTATGGATTTTATAACGCGATTTTCTGTACCAAAAAATAGGAAAAAGGAAAACAGATTCTAACACAATTAATTTGCCGATTTTGTTGCCTTATCAATATTGTCCAATAATTACTATATATAGGATACATTTAAAGTATTTGTCGGGAAAACATTTCTAAAATTGTAAAAAAGTTATTCTTTTTATATAATGATAGATTTGGAATTCAACAATTTAAATAAAACACCATATAACAAGTATGTTAGGGTAATATGTCTATTCAAAAAAATGACATTTGGACTTTCACAATTTAATTGAAATATCATATAACAAGTATGTTGAATTAATCTGTCTAATAATAAAACGTTAATCTCATAATGGTATTTGAAATAATGTATATTATTTTATTAAGTCAAATTTAATTAGGCAAAACGAAATTACGCAAAAGTACTATTTTTTATTTACTAAAACAATATGACATATTTTTAATAATTTATTTTTCATTGATTTTGTACTTTACATTAAACACTTACAAAATTATCATACTTCGATTTTTCACATAACAGTAGTGATATTAGTGAAGCCAAATTGAGTCGAATACGTCGTAGTAGAACTTTTGCTCGTATAATAAATGAGCAAGTTTTGCTCGGATTATTTAATAAATCAAGTGAAATCAATCAAGTTCCGCTTGTTTGAATTAATTTTTAATTTTATGTTTTATTATATGTGATATAGCCATATAAGAGGAACCCGGTTGAATAAGCTTGTTATTCAACCGGTGAACCACTCGAATTACTCACACGTCGACATGACCCCGTCAATTTCCCAAATCGACTTCCCTAGGGTCGGTTCCGCCAAGAGCAACTAAGAAGAAGCAGAGACGTCAGTATATTGACTTTCACTAGTCGACACCAATGGAAGAGTAACAGCAAGAGTACAGCACCCAAGCATCCCGATACCCTAAGCCGACTTCAGACAGTCGACTGGACCAAGACGACCTCACCACTAAGGATTAGTCGAGCGTAGCCTCCGAATCCTCATATACACGAGTCGACATCCTATATCTCGAAGTCGACCTCGCATACCTCGACTAACACGGATGTGATGACGACTACTCACACTTGCAATATACTTGAAGTTCCACATACTATCAAAGATAAGAAGGAATCTTATGATGACTCAGCAACAAAGGGGAGACGAATCGACAGGGGTATTTTGGACCTTCTAGGTCCACCGACTTGGGTATTTTGGGCACTTCGCGTAAGTATTCACTCCTATATAAAGGAGATGAGGTAACCCTAAAACCCTAACTCTCATTCATTCCACTCTCCCCTATAGCTGCTGCGCAGCCTCTCTCCATCACTCTCATACTAACTTGAGCGTCGGAGGCTCTACGCCGGAAACACCTCCGGCGTTGAGTTTTTGCAGGCATTCTTGCGATCTAGCGACGGTTTGAAGACGGTTCAAGCAGATCTGAGCTCATAACCACCGGTTTACTCCAGATCCAGAAGTAGACCCATCATTTGGCGCCGTCTGTGGGGAGTTCTTAAAGGAAGGAAGAGCTTCACACCCAGTTCCGATCTGTTTGGCAATGGCGGAGAAGGAGAGCTTGCAGAGGAACCTGAGCGAGGACTTCAGAGGGACGTGGATGGACAAGAGGCCACCACCACTTCCCACTACCAAACACTCCATGGTTCAGATGACGGGAACGTTGCCGTTCGGAGGACTTCCACCACCCGGGCTGACGTTGGGCGGAGAGACGCCTGTTACTCCAACCGGCGTGAAGTTGCAGGTGTTGACCCAGATAGGGACAAGTCAAAACCCTAATCCAGGAGGGGAGAAGGAACAAACGGAGATGTCTCGGCGTGAAGGAAAGCAGATACAGGAGATGCAGGACCAAATCCAACCCCAGGTCGAAGAGCAGACCTTGACGATGACGAGAAGCGAGATGCAGAAGATGATTGCTGAGGCTGTAGCGGCCCAGATGAAGCAAATGGCGCAGGTCGAGCAGCAGCCTCGAGCCGAGAATCCACCGAGAGTCGAGCAGCAGCCTCGAGTCGAGCAGCCCCGCGTTGAATATCAGCCTCGAATCGAACAACAGCCTCGTGTCGAGCAACAAGCCCAGTCGAATGTGCAACAGAATAGGAGGGTGGACGAGGAAGAATCCTCCGTTCGAACTGTCAATCCGCAGGCGAGGGACAAAACGTTAGAGCAACTGCTGGCGCAGGTCCGCGACTTACAAGCTAGAGTCGACGGGAGAAAGAGCAGGGGAACCAAAGAACATCCATTCGCACAGCAGATCCTAAGGGCCGATTTACCCAAAGGCTTCAGAGAGTTGAACATATGGTATGACGGAACCACAGATCCATCTCGACATTTAAGGAGTTTTGAAAATATGGCCGTGCTTCATCGCTACAGCGACCCAGTACAGTGCCGCGCCTTCCTGACGACTTTGACGGGGTCGGCCCAAGACTGGTTCCATCAACTGCCAGCGGGGTCGATTCGGGACTTTGATGGGTTCAGCTCGAGTTTCCTTAATCAATTTGCAAGTGTGAGGGTGCAGGAGAAGTCTTACCTCTCGTTAATTAGCATGCAACAGAAGAAAGGCGAGTCATTGCGGGAATATGTGGCGAGATTTACCAAGGCATGTGTCGAGTGCCCAACAGCGACAGAGGAAATCAAGTCGAGAGGGTTGACGAGAGGACTGCTGCCAGGATTGTGTAAGAACTCCTTGGCCAAACGACCTGGTAGAAGTTTCGACGATGTGCTGGGAAGATGTGCCAAATACATGAACGTCGAGGAAGCAGAGGCCGACTACTTGCAGAGCATGAAGATGACTCAAACTGAAAGTCGAGACGACAGAAAGGAAAAGAAGTCGACAGGAGATAGGAGAGGATCCCCAAAAGCTGATAGGGGTGAAGGTAGGTCTAGAGGATGGAGACCAACTCAATACACACCTTTGTTGGCTCCCCATGCGAGAATTTTGGAGGTTATGGAGAGGGAAATCCGCGACGATGTGGTGAGATGGCCGCGGACGAGAAAAGATGGACCTTTGAAGCCCAAAAGCAACTTATACTGCCGATTCCACAAAGACTATGGGCACAACACTGACGACTGTCGACACCTGAAAGACGAGATCGAAAGGTTGATAAAGGCGGGTCACCTGAAGGAGTTTATATACAAGGACCGGGAGAGGACGAATAGGAGACAAGAACGGAGTAAGAGTCCTCGCAAGAGGGCAAGATCGCCGGAAAAGGAAGAACTCCCACCAAAAAGAGGAGTCATTAACATGATCTTTGGAGGATCGACTGATGGAGACTCCAATCGAGCGAGAAAGGCCTATGCTCGGGGCCGATACGCGAAAGTCGAGATTCAACAAGTCGAGGAAAGTGGGCCAGTGATGAATTTTGGACCGGCGGATGT